AAAGCTTGACTTCCCTGAAGCAATGGCGAAAGGAAGGACGGAAGGAAACTTATGCGGAGGAGTAAAATGCACAGACATTAGACATTAATGCCGACAAAAATAACCGGTTTAATTTAGTGTGCGGAACAAAGATTATACACAAGAAGAAGCGTTTTATAATGACATCCTCATTAGTGTTATAATAATGATGGTTGATATTAAATTATATTGAAATGATGTGAATGATGTAATATTTACTTATTTTATATTACCTCTATCATAATGTTTATACCATCGGTCATAAGGCGGAGGTGGGTATTACATTTGTTACCTTCTAGGATTTTTATACCCTTCACCACACTGCGGTACAGGGTATTATGTCTTTGTGCATATGTTTATAACAGGCAAAAAGAAACGAGATAGATACATGGTTCCTTTTTAGAATATGCATAGAATCACTTTTTAAGGCGATTTATTCATGTCCGTCCGTCCGTCCGTCCGTCTATCCATGTATTTTTGTGAACAAAGTACAGGTCGCATTTATGATCCGATTTGGATAAAATTTGGCATAGGTCACTTATTTGGCCCAAGGACGAACCCCATTGAAATTGGGAAAAATCAGTCCAGATTTAGATATAGCTCCCATATATATTTTCGTCCGATTTAATGTAAATGGTGTACCAATGTCCCTATATATCGTTCGATTTGCATGAAATTTGGCATAGCGTAATGAATTATGTCTAGAATGATGTGTGTTAAGTTTCCTGAAAATCGGTCCAGATTTAGATATAGCCCCCATATATATTTTCGTCCGATTTAAGGACGAAAATATATATGGGCGCAAAAGTCCCTAAATATCTTTCGATCTGCACGAAATTTGGCACAGCGTAATTAATTAGGTCTAGAATGATGCGTGTTAAGTTTCCTGAAAATTGGTTCAGATTTAGATATAGCTCCCATATATATTTTCGTCCGATTTAAGGTAAATGGTGCACCAAAGTATCTATATATGTTTCGATTTGCACGAAATTTTGGCATAGCGTACTGAATCAAGTCTAGAGCAATGTGTGTAAAATTTCTTAAAAATCGGTTCAGATTTATATATAGCTCCCATATATATTTTCGTCCGATTTTATGTAAATGGTGCACCAAAGTCTCTAGATATGCTTCGATTTGCACGAAATTTGATATAGCGTACTGATTTGATACTAGAATGATGTGTGCAAAGTTTCGTGACAATCGGTTCAGATTTAGATATAGCTCCCCTATATATATTTCCATCCGATTTACTGTAATTGGTGCACCAAAGACCCTATATATCTTTCGATTTGCACGAAATTTGGCATAGCGTACTGAATTGCGTCTATAATAATGTGTGCAAAGTTTCGTGAAAATTGGTTCAGATTTAGATATACCTCTCATATATATTATCGTCCGATTTTATGTAATTGGTGCACCAAAGTCCCTATATATTTTTTGATTTGCACGAATTTTGGTATAGGGTACTGAATTAAGTCTAGAATGATGTTGCTAAGCTTCGTGAAAAGATTTATAGCTAGGCCGATTTACACAACGTACTGATGTAATATAAATTAGTCTCTAGCAAGTTTCCCTGAAATCGGTTCAGATATATTCTACATATGTTAGCATATATATGTAGAATATACCCAAAGTGGTGAAGGGTATCATATAGTCGGCCCAGTCGGACTTTACTACTTTCCTTACTGGTTATACTTGAATATGTGATATATCGGTCCACGGTATATTACTTACTTAACTGGTTTGTTACAGAACAGTTGTTCCAAGCGCGTCGGTCTTATGCGCATCTCCTCCAATTTGATCGACCACGTTCCAAGATGCTGTTTTCTACTTGGTCTTTCCATCTAATTCGTGGACTTCCCTTTCTATAGGAACCATCAGTAAGCTCGATTTTATATGCCTTTTGAGCTGGGGCATTCTCATTCATTCGCACAACATGGCCTAGCCACCGTAGTCGCTGCAGTTCAATACGACTGACTACGTGGATGTCCGAGTATAAATTGTAAAGGTCGTGGTTCATTCTACGCCGACATTCATCGACGCAGATCATCCCGTAGATCTTTCGGATAATTTTTCTTTCAAACACTCCAAGAGGTGCTTCATCTGCTTGCGCAAGTACCCATGCTTCAAATCCATTTAACAGCACGGGTAGTATGAGCGCCTTGTAAAGTGTTTGGTCTGGCGGGAGGTGGCGTTGTTTCTAAACTGCTTACTTAGACCATCTGTTGGCCATCACAATCCTTCAAAACTGATGTCATTCGTTTTACTTATGGCGGTACCCAAGGTATATAAAATCTTTAACTACTTGAAAGCTGTAGTTCTCAAATTCCACAGTTGATCCGAGTCTACTGGACGTCTTACGCTTTGATACCATCAGCTTGGTCTTCTCGCCGTTTACTGCCAGATCCACTTTGGCAGACTCCTTCTCAATTTGTTCAAAGGTGGCTGTTACCGCTCGCAATGTTCGACCCATTATATCGATGTCATCGAGTAACATGTGTTTTCCAGCAGGTTAAACCGGTCATACGACAAATTGTCACCTTGTCTGAATCCTGAATTTAACTACTGATATTGTCCCAATTAAAGTTATCCTGCATAGCCGTATAAATTTTGCAGGAATGCCAAACGCAGGCATGGCTTTAAACGCCTCTGAATGGATAGGGCTGTCGAATGCGGCGTTATAGCTGACGAATAGGTGGAATGTGAGGATGTTTTTTTCGTGGGAAGGTGGGATCTGACGGCCCTCTCCTTCTGGTATTGCAGAATCATAAACAACGTCCTCGAAACCCTTAAATGTGATATTTATTTTCTTTTTATAAGCCCACTGCTCTTATTATGTCAAAAAAATGGGATCTCTGGCCCTTAGTGAACCGATTTGATAAACATTAAATCCGAAACCTCTTTGATAAAAGCATATAACTTATATAAGGCGAATAATAACCATAGGTCGACCCCCCTCCACTTTTCTTGTTAATAGAGCGTTTTCATACCATATGAGAATCCAAAATAAAGGGGTACCTTTATAAGAGAACTACACGAGAAAAAGTGGACGAATATTGCTATTATTAAGAACCCAAAGTACCAAATTACAACGAATTCGGCTGAAAAACCACCAAATACCGAAAATACCCATCTTAAAACATGACCTGCACGCAGGCAAAATACAACTCTATGCTAATAATGTAGTTCTATAAAAATACTTGGGGTACGAAATCATTACATTTGACCTCTACTTTTGCGTACATTTGACCTCCTGGCGCTCAAACTTCTACTTCTTAGAAAAAATCCAAATTATATATTATCGCTTCTATAGATTCGTTAAATATTTGTACGCAATCATGCTGCTCAACCCATCGTGTTTCACAATATGAATGTTCTCGAAATATTCTGCATAAAGTAGCAGATTTATTGGATTTTCTAAAGAATGGACAAATGTCCAAAATTGTAGAAATATATTTAGAATTTCTCGAATCTTTGAAACTGTATTTAAATTTAATTCTAAAATGTGAAAAGAACAATGAATGTATCAGCAGAAATGAATTTTGATTTAAGGGGACCCCCCCCCATTCTCGGGGTCAACTTTTTTTTATTTATTTCGAATCTACACTAATTCAGGAATGTCCCTACAAAATTTCAAGTGAAAATTCCAAGAACTCTTGAAAATATAGCCGATTTATTGTGTCAGCATCCAGTGACGGCTAAAAGGGCTTCTCAAACTTTAAACGCGTTTTTCTCTTTTGCGAATGGCGGGCACGATAACTCAAAAACTAATAACCCAATCGATTCCAAATTTTTACACGTTTCTCTGTGAGTGTATAGCTATCGCATGAACTAGGATAAAGTCAATCGGTGAAGATCTTCCTTATTTTTTAACTTGGTATTTGGTCAAAAATCGGCGATTTTCCAAAAATATTTTTTCAAAGATCCGCCATTTTGTTAATTTTAGAGCGAAGTCAATAATCCTAGTTCATACGAGAGCCAGTCATGTACTCTTTCTAACACCGTTGGAATTTTCGGATCCCGATGTTCCAGTGAGGAGTTATCATGCCCGCCATCAAAAATAAGGACTTCTCTTTAATTACAAAAAACAACAACAAAAAATTTTTGTAAATTATTTTTCTCCCTTTTTAAATCTTCAAATATATATGTACAAAGTTACAGACCTCAACAAGCATTGGTATTGATGTAGAAGTAATTTTGTCGCCTGGGCCCCTTGGGCCACCGTGCGTATGATTGTATGTAAATCAATCACCGATTGTATGTAAATTGTTCTGCAAATGCTGATATAAAATTTTGTACAGCTGCAGCATTCCGAATGACCCGTGTCAAAGCTTTAATGTATATTCGGGCTCCTCAGAATGTTTCTACCTTCTTAGAAATTGTGTATATAAAAAAACTGTGGAACTTTCCTTACTGATTGCTACATGTAATAGAGGTATTCAGAATTATCACATAATATCAGAATATCTCCGAGTATAGACACTAGACGTTGTGACACGTTCTCTAATCAAACAAAAGATGCCGATCCGGAAATGTCTCAAGAAACTTGGGACAACTTAATATCAGAGCAATGTGATCAGTTGTGAAATCACGTGAAGTACACCAATGTCAGTTAATTAAAATAAATACAATTTGCACTGTTTACTATTTTAGCAATTAGGTTCAAATTCGACATCGAAATTTACGTCACAGCGATAATTATATTTACAAGTGTTTTTAATTTCAAAATCTCAAACAAGTATGAGTATGTATGGGGTTTGGCGCCAATACCAATTTCAGTTCAATATCAATATTTACCGAAATGTAAACCAAAAGTAACAAAAGCCACTTCAGATTTCAGATTGATTAACCACATTTATTTGTTTAATGTTTTCAAATAAACAAAAATGTTCGCACAACAATTAAGAAAACATTTTGCAATTGTTTTTTTTATTATTATTTTGAAATAGCACTTAAGTCCGTTATTTGATGAATTTTTATTCTTAAAGTGATTCTTCGGGTAATGATTGATCGTTGGGCAAATTGGAACCATCCGATGGTTCTGATGAGGATGACGATTCCGTTGAGGATGACGATTCCGTTGAGGATGACGATTCCGTGGAGGATGACGATTCCGTGGAAGATGACGATTCCGTCGAGGATGACGACTCCGTTGATGAGGAGGATTCATCTGTGGCTGGGCTAGTGGTATCCGGTTGACCATCATCAAAACCATTTTTCAAACAATTTTGCAGGGCCACCGTTAAGGCATCGGTGTCGGCCTTAACCTTATCCAATACTGTTTGTATACAGGCATCTTCCGAGCTGTCAATGCTGACATAGGCTGCCGATAGTCCATTTGCCAACGAAGTGGAGCTCAAGCTGACCTGGGTTACGGTACTTTGTAAAACTTGTGACTGTCGTAATAAAGAGAATGAAATCCATTATAAATCCGCTAGCACGACATCTACACGAGCTGTACTTACATTATCCCTAAAGCAGGTTAGGAAACTCAAAACATCCTCCTGTTTGACACATGATGCCAATGTCTCTTGTACGGTTTTCACCTGTTGATCCAACGACTCCCGCTGTTGTTTCACTTTGTTCAACTCATCTTCACGTCGTGATGTGGCTCGATTTACACACGCCGCCGTATCACTTTTAGAATCTTCTGTTGCGGCCGTTATCAATGGAATATATTTATCGTAACATGCCAAACCACCACCAGCTCGTCCAATTGCCGGGGTCCTTAGCAAAGAAGAAACTTTAGTCTGTGCATAAGCCAAAACTTCAGCCTGAACTTCATCGGGAGATTTTGAGGCATTTGCCAGCTATGGAGGTAAAAGAGATTTTTATTTTACATTTTTTTCTTTTTTTTTTTTGAATATTTTTAATAAAATGCACTTACACTCAATTCCACAATGGCTATTACAACAACGAAATATTTCATTTTTATTTTTTTCCTCTGTTTTATTTTGGAACTGACCACTTCTTTAGAAACTGTTAGGAGAATGATTACGATATTCACATTTTGCTGGGCTTTTATATCGACACATATGGTTTCTCAATATGCCGCCGTGCAACAATAATTGCGATAACTGTTTGCAAAAAGTTTAAGATAAGGTTTCTGGAGTATCTTTTGTGGATCAAGTAGCTACACTTAGAGAAACAAAAAAAAAAAAAAAAAAACAAATGAGCATTTGGCATTTCTTCATCCGATTTTATTTCTACCAAACAACAATAAGTTCGACTGAGGAGATCTTTCTACGCCCTGTAGCTATGATATAATGGATGTGCCATAGTGCCTTGGATGGGGTGTCAGACTAAAAACCGATAGGCTTTCCAAATTCTTTAAAATTCCATAGAAAAAAATTTGAGAGCATATTCATGATTTTTGGTACATAGGTCCAAGGTACCTATATTCGCCTTTTTTTGGGCCGAATCGTTAGATTCGGCACGTAAAAAAACTAAAATCACACGGGGTTCTACGGCATTTGAGTGGACCTTCTTAAATTTAGACGCAAAACCAGTGAGCGGAGCAGTATAGTCGGACGGGGCCGACCATATGATAGGGTATCATATGGTCGGCCCACAACTACCACGAAAATCATGAACTTTCGGTTCAAACAACAACTCTACTTTCTAAGTCTTGCATATTTTCCAAAATGTTTTTTCTTGAAGTGAATTTTTACGCCATAAAATAAAAAATTGGTCACTTTAGGTTTTGGTCGATTTGACCCTCGGAAAATTGACCGATCATCATCTAAACAGCCCATCTAAGTATTTGGTCAGATCCCCTTCACATTGAAAAATATGTGATGTTCTGCATATAATAATTCCCTTTAGAGCGACTAGAAAATCTGACAAAATTAAAGTTTTCGGTTCATTGCACCCCCTGAATGAAATCTCAACTTCACCGAAAACTATAGGCGTCGTCCTTGACCATTATCAGAAATTCAGATACAATTTCAAAGCGATCAGCGCGACATTTCCGTCCCCTAATGGAGTAATAGTAGTACTATGCACATAGTCACCTTTACCTAATTACGTATAACTCCCACATCAGAGTACATACAGCCATATAGTTGCTATCAATTTGAAGGTCAACAACTCCTCTTGGATATACTATCAGCTTCTGGGGTATATGTCCTTCAGGAGCAAGTATATACACCCCAGAATAAAAATTTTGTAATTTTTCACACAAAAGTCAGGGTTCATTTGACCCGCTAAATATTGACCGATCTTTATCAAATCAGGCATGCTTATTCTTAGGCCCGATCCCCTTCTCCATGTAAAATTTCACGATGTTCGGACCATAACTGCGGCCTCTGGAGCGACCAGAAAAACCGACAAAAATCTAGTATTTGGTCCATTTCATCACCTTAATATTAACCTATCTTTACCAATCTTTACTGGCCAGAACCCATCCTACATGCAAAATTTCGTAAAGATTGGTCCATAACTGTGGTCTGTATCGTGTTTACAAATTATAATGGACAAACGGACGGACGGACACACATGTCTAGATCGACTCAGGTAGTCGAGATATGACGATCGGTATAATTAAAGGTGGGTCTAGGACCAATATTTCGCGGCGTTACAAACGTTTGGGGCTGCACAAAGCTATAATACCCTGACAACATAGTTGTGTACTCGTATGTGGGAGTTACACTTAAGTGTTTACAGGAACTTACGTAATCAGATACCACACTAGAGGTCGGAAATATAGCGCTGATCGCTTTGAAATTTTCCATGAAGATCCAGGTATGGTCAAGGACAACGCCTTTAATTTCGACGATGATCAGATAATAATATTGGAATGAAGTGGACCGAAAACATAATTTTTTGTGTTTTTTCGAGTCGATAGGCCACAATTGAAAGCCGAACATCACAACACAACTCACGGTATAGGGCATCTGGACCAGTAATTAAAAGAGCTGTATTGAATATTAGTAATATTTGTTGATCTCTAGTCGGTCAAAATGGTGCAAATATCGCGAAATATTGCCCAAGCTCAGAACATAGAACAACAGAAAGTTAGATTTTCGTGGAAGTTGTGCAGGGTATCATATGGTCGGCCCCGTCCGGCTATACTGCTCCGCTCACTGATTCTAGACTTAATTCAGTACCCTATACCAAAATTCGTGCAAATCGAAATCGAAATATATGGACATTAGTGCACCAATTACCTAAAAACGGATGAAAATATATATGGGAGCTATATCTAAATCAGAACCGATTGTCACGAAACTTTGCACACATCATTCTAAACTTAATTCAATACGCTATGCCAAAATTCGAGCAAATCAAAACATTTCGAGGGACTTTAGTGGACTATTTACCTAAAATCGGCGAAGCTATATATGGGAGCTATATCTAAATCTGAACCGATTTTCACGAAACTTTGCACACATCATTCTAGACTTAATTTAGTACACTATATACACAATTTATCTTAAATCGGACGAAGATATATATGGGAGCTATATCTAAATCTGAACCGATTTTCACGAAACATGACAGAAATCATTCTAGACCTTATTCATTACGCTGTGCCCAATTTCGTGCAAATCGAAAGATATAAAGGGACTTTGGTACTTCATTTAGCTTAAATCGGACGAAAATATATATGGGAGATATATCTTAATCTGAACCGATTTTTCCCAATTTCAATAGCGTTCGTTCTTGGGCCAAACAAATGAGCTTTGCCAAATTTCATCCAATTTGGATGATAAATGCGGACGGAGATGCATAAATCGACTCAGAAAGTGATTCTATGTATAGTCTCAAACGGAACCATAGGTCTATCTGCATTATTTTTGCCTGTACCACAGT